TGCTGTGAAGCTGTGATTACAGTAATCTTTGATTTAATTCAGTAGAAAGTTCTTGAATTCTTCTTAAGTTATAATAGTATTAATATACTCAAGCTCTCTCTTCTTAATAGCTTAAGTAGTTGCAGAGATGTCTTCAAGAAGATTAACAGTATAGATTACTTATATCTTGTAAGTATTATACTAGCTCAGATTAAGATGAAATTTTCATTTAAAAGTACAGATAAAGCTGTGAAATTCAGATAAGATATTTCTCTTATATTTTAAAGAATCTTCAATCTTAATCTCTCTATCTTTATAATAGATGTAGATGTGTAGAAGCTGTGATAATAATAGAGCAGTTGAAGAGCTTATATCAAAATATGCAGTAAGTTCAGAAATCTCAGATTTCTGCTAGAGTAGAGATGTACACACTCTAGAGAATGATATAGTGTTTTCTTCAGAGAGTGAGATCAGATCAGTCTCAGTATAAATGTATAAGATTATATTAGTCTGTTAGAGCTTAACTGATTCAAATGTATAATCAGATTGAGTGATTCAAATTGTAATATAACAGAACTAAAGTGATGACTAGTCAGTGATATCATGTAGAAATAGTTGTTTAGAAAGCTGTATAAGTGAGCTTGACTATCTTGCTTGAATAGTGAGCTTGTAGACTACAGAGTTATTATGAGAATATCACAGATATAATACTTAGTATACTAAGAAGATTGTATAAGATATGCAGTAACTTCTGTATATATTTCAGTAGAAGAAAAGAAATAAAATGAATCACTGACTTCTTTAATAAGAAGTCAGCATCTAGCTATTCTATATAGATAATGAGTGAATACTCTTCTCTCATTTCATGAGTAAGAATAGCTGAAGTGATATCTCAGTGATGTCTCATTGCTAAGAAAGAGTAATCTGCTGATCTTGTATAAAAGCAGAGTTCTCTTATTCATCAATCAGATCTTTCTATGATATATTTAAATGATGTTATAGAGTAGTTGAAAACTGGTTCAGACAGAATGAAATCATCTGCATGAAAGTGATGAGCTGTGTGAAACCATAGCAGGGCCTTGGCGCTGCCGGGAGCGTGACACACAGTTACATAGTTAGTCTAACTCTGACCTTATATAATATAGTAATAATCAGTTAATAATTGACTTTTAATCTTTCAATTCACTTATTTATTTATTCACTCAGCTTATTAATTAATCAAAGTATATATAGCTGATTTATAATCAATTAAATAAACAGATAAATTTATATAGAATGTAAAGAGATATTTTACAGAATTTTAAAATATATTAAGATAAAAATATTTAATAATTGATTTTAAAGTAATTGTTAATTAATTATAGTAATAAAAATAAATTCAATCTATATATTTAAGTAATTAACAATTGATTGAAAATCAGTTAATAATTAATTCAGTGTAAATTATATAAATACTTACTTTATTATTAAATTCAAGAATTATTTCAGCATTAAATTAATTATTAATAAAATTAGTAAAGTCTTCTTCATATATAGAAGTTATAATGAGAGAAGAATTATTTTACAATCAATTAAAAAATGTTTTACAATTAATTAAGAATTGATTATAGAATTGATGATAAATAATTGAGTGGTTTCAAATTACAAGAAAAGATGTATTGAGCGAGGTCAGATAGTGGCACAGGCCACATTTACGAGGTCAGCTTACATAACGAGGTCAAGTGACGCACTTAGCGAGGTCAAGCTTTCTGCTTCCTGCAAGCTAGCAACCTTTCAATCAAGCAAGCTTTACACCTTCCACAGTTGCACCTTAAATTTTTAGTGCTCATCAAAACTTTTGAGAGGATCCTCCGTAGAGGGATGTGACTCTGAGTGAAATCAGGTGTTTAGGAATCATTTTGCGCTTTAGCATCTGACGGCTGACGGGGATATCACAAGACTATCTCAATTCATTCATTCTAAAGAAAATCAATCGCCCACTAGCAAATATTAACATCGGAAAAGGGCAGAAAATCAAGTTTCCCACGCAGCAGGCTTAAGAAGCTAAAAAACTATCGGAGAACAGGGGAATATAGCTGCAAGAGCTACAAAACACCGTCCAAGAATTGTTGATCAGAGATGCCTTTTCAATGCGTCCGCAAAGTAACAAGGTGGATGTGCCGAACGCTGTTATCATCTCCCCATCCAACCTCCTACTAGTAAGCCACTTAAGCCACCCCCGAAGGGATAGAGAGCTACGATAGCTAGAGGGGAGGAGAGTACATTGTTCATATGGTACACGCTAGGCTTTCATCATCTATGGCAAAAGAGGCATGTTAGCATTCTTATGCTTGAGTTTCGATTTCGAGGAATTCAGCATTTTAGGGGACTCACTTGTTCAAAACTTGGAAGGATGGAGAAAAGAAAGGAAAAGGAAGAGGAAGTCGAAAGTCGAAGTTGAGATTTTTATGTTGTGTGAAGTCTTGGCATCATGTTTGTTCATCTGTCAAACAGCACTGAGCAACTATTAATGCGGCAACCCCAGGGACATTTCGTGCAATAAGACATTCATATTTTTGGATCTCAATTGTCCGGACCCGCGCCTGAAACCCCTATGCTCCCCACCCATCTTTCTCCGGGAGCCCTTCGGCTTGCCGCCATACGGCGTCAAAGCTACCTTGAAATATCAAATTATATACGAGGAATTCGAGTCGCCTACTCCTGGGGACCAATATGCAACTCTGGATGCGTCCGAGGTTTTCATGCCGGAAGTTGGTCGCGCCAGCAGAGCGCTGCTTGCTCTCCGTCGTGTCGCTCCCATCTTGAAGAATACAAACAATCTAGTACGAGGACGGACATCTAGCCTAGTTTTCATATCATTGCCAGTTTGTAAGAGGAATTTTTGACTAATTTGATATTTTATCTGTATAGTAAACTTTCCAGCTGCCACAGTTGACCTCAAATCACTTATAGAACGTCCCGCTTTGGGCCAGAAGGTTGTGCTCCATGGCTACCTAGGGAAGCGAGTCGATATGGGAAAGAGGATGGCCTTTGTTCGCCTAACAGATCCAATTCTGTCACAAAATGTTCAGATCATAGCTTTTGCAAAAGATAAATCCTTTGCCAAGCTGAAATCCATTGAGGCAAATAGCCCCGTGGTTGTGCAGGGGGTCGTACAACAAAAACAACCTAGTTTGAAGGAAAAGCCAGACGCTAGGGAGGGGCAGGAAGCCAAGGCCGACAGTATAGAGATTGCCTTGGAGGACATACACTGTCTTAATGAGTTTCCTAAGGACATTATCATGACCCCTGACACAGTTTTCCCCCCGGAAAAGCGGCATTTGCAGATCCGAGCCGATAGCAAACTTCGTGATGCACTGCGATTCCGTGCGCGAGCTAGAAATGTCTTGCGAGAAGCATTGGAAGAATGCCAACTACCTTTCATAGAAATCGAAACACCTCTACTGTTCAAATCTACCCCCGAAGGAGCAAGGGAGTTTTTAGTTCCCACGAGAAGACGTGGGATGGCATACGCACTCCCACAAAGTCCGCAACAATACAAACAAATTCTCATGGCTAGCGGCATTCCGAGATATTACCAATTCGCCCGTTGTTTCAGGGATGAGGACCTTCGGGCAGATAGGCAACCGGAATTTACGCAGGTACTCAACCCCGATCCCTTTTCAAGCTTTGGGTAGCAGTGCCTCTAACTCGTCCGAGTAGCTCGATTTAGAAATGTCATTTGCAACTGGGGAAGATGTGATAACGGTAATCGAAGCTGCTGTGAAAAAGCTATGGTCTTCCTTAATGACACACTCTTTACCCTCGGAGAGCTTCCAGAGGACCACTTATGAAGATGCCATGGCCAAGTTCGGATCAGACAAACCAGACGTACGAATCGGCATGGAGATCAAGCGGATTGAGCACATGGTACCCGTCGACCTCGTTAGTAAAATCAGTCCACTGCATAATCCCATAGTTGAAGCCATGAAACTAGAAGGAAACGAGAACCCGGAAGATATGCGTAATTTCCTCAATTCGTTCATGGACTCTCCTGAAGCGAGTATCTTCCATAAAAATCCCGCAGGCGGACCTGGCGCCTTCGTTTACGACTCTAGAAAACCCCTCTCGGGACTCCAGCCGTTTGGATTCGAAGCGACATGGGTTCTCGAGCAAGAACTAGACCTGAAAGACGGAGACCTACTCATAATACAAGCTCGCGAGAACGCACCCTTTTCCGGAGGTTCCACTCCACTAGGTGATCTTCGTCGGGAAATCCATAAAGCGGCCGTGGAAGCCGACCTCACACCCGCCCCTACAGGTTTCCACTTCCTCTGGGTCCAAGAATTCCCCCTATTTTCCCCCATTACCGATTCCGAGCCCGGCCAAGGAGGCGCGGCCGGCATTGCATCCACACACCACCCCTTCACGGCCCCGCTGCGCGAGTCAGATATATCCCTTCTACTCACGGACCCAACGAAAGTAATCGCAGACCACTACGATCTAGTCCTCAACGGCGTCGAACTCGGCGGCGGAAGTCGACGTATCCACTCTGCCGCGGTCCAAGAATTCATACTTCGCGACATCCTGAAAATGCCCGCCGAGAGGCTTGCTGACTTTGCGCACTTACTTGAGGCCCTGAGGGCCGGGTGCCCACCACATGCTGGCATTGCACTGGGGTTCGATAGACTCGTGGCAGTTATGCTGGGCAAGGAGAGTGTGCGGGATGTAATTGCGTTCCCGAAGTCTGGGAAGGGAGAAGATTTGTTGATTAAGTGTCCAAGTGAAATGACGGAGGAGTCGTTGCGGACCTATCATCTTCGGTTGCAGGATGAGGATGCTGATGGGGAGCAGAAAATAGAAGGGGATTTGGGGGAGGCAATTAGGATAGGGGATCATGCTACTCCTGGAGCTGGTTAGGTACGATATGGGAAACAGCTTCTCATTGTTCTTCACTCCTTCTCCTCCTCCTCAACGGGGTTTGATACACGCCTCGTTATGTTGTTGATAGATGTTGGCATACCAGTTTCTTAATTTCAGGAGCCCTTGGGATTTATGTATTAATAGATTAGATACCAACCATATTTATTTAGACTTCTTCTCTCTATTTCTCTCTATACAGTAGATTGTTTTTAAATAAGAGTTAGCGCACACTTCGATCAATGAACTTATCATCTACCACATGAGGAGTAAGCTGACCAGCGCTTAACTCCGGACCCCGGTTTCTTGTAGCTACTGTATGCATTTTTATAATGGTCACAGATTTTCCTTTCATTGTTCGTAAATCATGGTATGTTCATATCCACCCTTTTCTACCTACACACATACAGAGCGTCCCATTGGCTCGTCACACTTAATATTAGTACGCCTAGATTCATGTTTGGCCAGGTTCTTTTCACTCTGTTCCTGCCATCCCGAGTCTGCGCTTGCGTATTGAATATTTTATACGATTTAATTGCATATTTGCATTTAACCAATCTTTGCGTTGGAAAAGTCCATCTCTACAGAGCAAAGGGAAGTAGTCGTCAGCAATTCACAAGCTTCCAAAACCAAAGGTAAAAGCAAACATAAACCGCGCAAAAGAGATATATAATAGGAAATTTGAAAAAATACTCACCCGGATGCTCTTTCTGGAACTTCCTCAACAGCTCCATCTTCTTCTCCTCATCACTCGTCGGCTTCCCCATCTCCTTTTGCCGCTGATCATACATCATCTTCTCTACCATACTCCTCGTCGCACCGTCCAAATCTCCTAGCTTTGAATTCTCAGGCGTGATCTTCGACACGTCAATGCGTGGCGCGGACGTCACGATATGCGGCCACCATTCCATTTGGTTAACTTTATCGAGGTGGATAGAAATTTCTTTGCCGGGGGGCTGGGAGGTGGGCTCGAGGGTCCAGGCCGATTCGTCGACGCGGATTGGGTGTGGGAACATTCCCTATGCCAATGTAAATGTCAGAAGAAAAGGCAAAGAAATCAAAGAAATCAAAAATCAAAAAAATATGTACGGATTATAAACATGATTGTACTCCATGTCCGTACATACATCGATAAACGTCTCTCCGCCTTTAATGCCGACGAAGATCTTAGTCCTACTCAAATCTACCTGCAAATCCCGCCCTCTGATATTTGCCGCTACAGGAATCGTCACATCGGCATCTTTAATCGTTTGCGTCCATTTGTAGGGTAGTGTGGCTTGTTCTGCGTCCTCTTTTGCCTTGCGTTCACGCTCTTCGCGTTCGCGCTCTGCGATAACTTCCTTGCTTGGACCTGTCTCAGTGTCTGACATTGCGTTTAATTTCGGCTGAGGAGGAGTTTCGGTTCGATATACTGTCCGTGGCAAGAATATTCCTTTGGTTCCTTTCCTGGCTTGAGTGAAGTTTGAATAGAAGAAGTCTAGCGTGGTTAGGTGGGCGCCCAGAAGCCTTCGCCGCAACTCTTAATGTTTTGCTTGTGGTGGGGCGGCAGGTTGCGGATTTCCCTAGCTCTTCAGTCGGCACGGAAAGAGTTATGGGTAGTTAGCTAAATAAGGGGAAAAAAAAAAAAAAAAAGAAAAGAAAAGAAAAGAAAACCTAGAAGCATATGACAAATAAAGAAGATATCCACCAACAGACCCTCTACCAGCCCGTTGTCTTGGTCCTAATGTCTGTATTTCTACGAGGTTCTTTAGAGCTCTGACGGGTGCTGGAGATCAGTAGCAAGCTTTCAGATTGAATAGCAAACTGAGCAAACATCTTATCAGAGAGATATACAACATTTCCCCCCGACGTTCGAATATAACCACGCAGGAGAAATAATATAGAAAACAGAAGAGATAATAGAGACAATCTAAAATTAACTAGATTTTAATCAAAATTTCCCTTTTTTTTCTCCCTCACCTTCGCGAGAATCAAACCCAGGAAGCTGGCCCTTTTATTGGCAGCACACCAGCAGAAGAAGACGAAATAGATAAAAAGGCGAACGAACGCTAAAAGGAAAAAGGAGAATAAGGAGGAGAAGCAAAATAGCCCGGTATACCTTAATTCCATGCTATGGCGACGAGGGAAACGGAAAAAGTGCTAACTACAAAATAAGAAAGTAGACGCCCGAAACGACGCCGTAAAACCACAAGTGAAAGCTACGTGACATGGAAAAGCAACAAATCCAACTGATCACACACTCATCTCCGAAAAAAAGTCCAAGAAACACCAAAGTCCCGAAGCACACTTGGACTAGCCATATCACAATCACGGGCTCGGAGTGCATTCTTCGTATCTAGGTCCGCCATCATCACCCGCGCTAGGTGTAGCTGGAATACCCGCCCCCATCGCTGGAGTAGGAGCATCGTACGGTCTCCCACCTCCGATGGCAGCAGGGGTTGGAGCATCGTACAGCTCGCCGGTGCGTTTGGCAGAATAACCTGAAGCATCCGGCGTCGGCGCATGGATCGCACCAGGCGTGGGTGCATTGTCTGCCCAACCATGTGGTGTTGCAGCAGTGGCACCAGGTGTCGGGGCGCCACCGTAGGGGCCAGGTGTGGGTGCGGAGTAATCCGTGCTGGGGGTTGGGGCATCGTAGCTGCTTTTACTTCCGCTACTATGTCCGATAGGTGGAGGCGCTGCGGATCCGGGCGCCCATGCAGGGGTCCGCGAGCCACCGCCAGGATACGCCGGTGTTCGGGAGCCAGCGGCGAAAGCATCGAAGCCCGAAGTCGAGGAGCCGCCGAAACCAGAGCTGGAGTCATAGGGGGTCTTTGTTCCGGAAGTCCAGGCAGGGGTGCGGCCGCCGCCAAATGTGGTACCGCCATATGCGGTTCGGCTGCCGTCGTATGGGTTTGAAGTACGGGAACCGTCCGCTTTCCATGCCGGGGTGCGAGAGCCGCTTGCTGTTGCAGAGCCCCAGGCTGGTGCTGTTGGATTTGTTAGGAATGGATCAGGTTGTTGACAAAGAATGGGAATGAATACTCACTTCGTGAGGAAGAAGACCGCCATGCAGGAGTGCGTGAGGCGTCATTTGCAGCCAGAGGTGTGCGACTTCCTGACCAGTCGGGGGGAGCTGCAGAGCTGCCGTAAGGGATTCGGCCCCGCCCGGCTCCACCACCGCCTCTACCGCCGTATCGGGAGAGATCAATTGAAGCACCAGTGATAGGACTATGTGGATGGTCAGATTGGACAAAGCTTTTAATGGAGGCGGAAGGAGACACATACTCTTTTATGGCGAGCATATCCTTGTCCACCGTAATCACCTTATTCTTCGAATGCAACTCAACCCGCGCTTGAGCATCAGTCGTATCTTTAACAATACCCAACAGGCCCTTGAAGGGGCCTTTTCGAATCGTAACAGTCTTGCCAATAGTCCGATCCCTACCAAACGACTTCGGTGGTGGCATTCCGCTGCCATTCATTCCATTTTTCTGGATTGCTGGGTTCATCCTCGAGAAATCGGGAGCAGACCGGCTGGCTAATCTCCCGCCGCTGGTTGCGACCGTAGTAACATTCGACGCTCGTGTAACAATGATACCCGCGTTGTCGCTTGCGTCTTTGTTGTTAAGGAAAAGGAATGAACGGTGGATGTGGATAATGGCGCCTGTTCGTTGTTCTCCGGTAACTTCACGGACTGTATCGCCGCTTCTGATCTCCGAGCCATTACGATCTGTGGAGACGGCATTGCGACGCTGGAGGATTTTATTCATGACTTGGGACGGCAGTACAGTTCTAACTGATCCGTTTTGATCAAGGACCCGCATCGATTCTCGATCTAGCTTGATAATACAACCGACAGTTGCTTGGCTGCAAAAGTTATTAGTAAAGTACAGGCGTCAAGGGGCTATGGAAATTGTTTCCTGGGAGAAGCACTTACTCAAGCTGCACGAGATCATGAACATCATACATGCCAAGTTTCCCATCAACACCAGCATCCGCAGCTTCTCGAATATCCTTGCTGAACACCGTGATTTCCTGCATACTCATGTCGCTGAGCAAAGTAACCCGGTCATCCTTAATGCGAACCACCATACCCAACTCGTCACGGAATCGACTGCCGCCAATGACTTTAACATGATCACCTTCTTGGAAGCGTTTCCTGAGGCCCTTGATAGGCACATCTATCTGCTGTCCTTCAAGTTCGCCTTGCGTAACCTTAATGGAGACAATATCCCCGCGGGTGGATACCGTCCGGCCAACCACACCTTGCTGCTCGCCTTGGAAAACCTCAACAGTATCCCCAGGGAGATATGAGTCTTCAGTAGTCGTATTTTTAAGACTCGCAGCCAAAGCAGCAAGATCAAGATTCGCAGTGCCATCATCGGCACCACGGGCGAACTTGGTAACCTCATCAAGTTGTGGGTTGACATTTTTTGTAATTAGATGCTGCACTTTCATATCTTTGATAAGGAACCCGTCAACGTAATTATCGCCAAGGTAATTCCAAGTCTTCCCTCCAAGCCCAGAGGTAGCACTCAGATACCTTGCATGCTTTTTCTTAGCCTCTGCTTCGCTGAATGGTCGTTGCGGCGGGCGAGCAATGGCACTATTAGCACCTGGTCTCTTCCGTTTCACATCACCATTAGGTGCGCCCATATCTTCGTTTAAACCGTAGTCCAGACGAGGAACAAGCCTGACAGTAACGTCCAGTCCGTTCGTCTCGACATCTTCGAGCTGCGCCAAGTCGCCCTGGTACTTCCCTCGCTTGATGCGTACCCAACCACCAGGGATTAGCTGTTCCGATTTGGTTACCCTGAGTAGATCGGGCATTTCCTTCACGGAGATCAATATCATCTTCGACTTGGTATATACATTCGACATATCGTTCAGGGCATCGAGGACGTCGGCCTGCTTGCGGGCTTCAACATAGATATATCCACTCATAGTTCCGCCCCGCTCGAACGCAGACATGATCCGAATCGGCCTCCTGGAGTCCGGTGGACGGTCCTCGATTCTCTTCATAATGTTAAAAACAATCTCCCTTTCCTTGCCAGGGCGACATTTGACGGCCCATATACTCGGATCATCAACACTCGGTAGCAGTAATCGCTTCGGCACAACGACCAGATCTGCTGCCACAGCTCGGTTCCGGCCGTACCGTTCTTTAAGGGCCTGTGCTTGTTTCTCAGCATCCATTGTAGCCTCTAGATCTCGCTTCCGATCCAGCTCGCGATGTCTTCGATCATCAGTCTCCGCGCCAACGGGTAAAGCGTCGAGATCGTCAGGGTGCTCTGCGACGAATCCATCACCCATCTCCTCCTCGTCTTCTTCAGCATCATCTTCTTCGTCAACTTCAGCTTCAACCTCAAGGAAGGCATTGATTCCCCGCCGTCTACGTTTCCGTGGTCGACCCTAGAATAAAAGGCATCAGTAAACCCGATCCAACACCTCTTTCTTTTTATGTCCTCAGTCGTGATAACCTGGCTGGCGATGCCAGAACAGAATCCAACTAAACTCACCGAAACAGCCTGCTCATCCTCGTCATCATCGTCATCTTCTTCGTCCTCCTCTTCTTCCGAACCTCCAGCATCCCTTTCCCCACCACTCTCATCCACGTCCCCATAATCCTCTCCCTCTCCATTCTCGCTATTCTCAGCCTTCTCTTTTCTCCGCAAAGATTCATTTTCTTCTTGGTCTTCCTCGTCGCCCCCTCCCCCTACCCTAGACCTATCATCCCTCGCCACATCATCGTTAGGTGTTGCCCCCCGTTTCTTCTTCGGCCGGTCATCATCGGAATCCTCGACGGGGGCGGGATTAAAGTCATCATCTTCCTCTTCGGATCCGAAGTCCTCATTAAGGAAATTGCTGGGCGGGTTAGACATTGTGTAGTTGCGTGAGGCGCTGACGAAAACTTTCGATAGTTTTGCTACACGTGTTTTTACTTCCGCCGGTGGTCGAGGTGTTGCGCTCAGAATAGTGAAGACAATAAGGGTTCATGTACCGTTATGTACGTGTCTGGATCTATGGCCTCAGTACTTTCGCCTGCCTGTAGAAATACAAGCCCCCGAAGCTCGAGCTCGTTAGGATGAGGTTTGGTAGTTACCAAAGGCGCAATCGTACCGAGGGTATCTCGTGTCGCAATCGGAAGATTTCAAACAGCCTTCTGTAGATGAAAACGGAAAGGTAAGATTAGAGAGTGCAACGTGCTCCCTGCTTCACAAGCGCCTGGCGTGAATGGGAAGTAGTGAAAAGGATAAGCATTAGCGATGAGCGGCGGTTGAGATTCTTTGCAAGTTTGATGGATGCGCTTGCGGCGCTTAACGGCAGCCGTATTCGGCCAATATAGATTGGCGCGTTTTATACATCACGTGATGTATTAATTGTTTAGAGACGCAGTGGCTCCTTGGCCAAACAAGCGGGATTATGGATTATTTACCTGGTGCAAGTGACATCATGCAACAACTGGATGAATACTGACACAATACATGTCTAATAACAAAAAATAAATCGAAGAACAGCAAGGCTGGAGAACTGATATCCAGCCAGCATGGGTAACTTAGGCCGAACGGAAACAATCCCCAAAATGCAGAAAAAATAAATTAAAAATAAATTAAAATACAATAAAATAAAATAAAATAAAATCCCGGAGATCATAGCATGCCAGTCTTGGTCTTTGAAATAAAGGAGAAGTAGAAGAAATATGTATGGATGGTATGCGTGTATGTACAGTACATGTACATGTACATGAAATGAAAATTGGATATGGAATGAATGTCCCCCAGGATAAGTTAAAGAAAAAGGGAAAACCACAAGAAATCATAAAAACGCCAGCAACCTACAGATTCATCCCAAAGAATTGGTGAACCTTCAAACTCTGCCTCATACTAAGATCCAACATAATCTCCTCGCTCCCGCCGGGGATCGCATACGCGCGCACATCCCGATACAACCGCTCAATCTTACCCCCCTGACCACCCCGAGTATAACTCAAACCACCAAAGATCTGACTGGCCTCTCGCGCGCAGAACTCGAAGGTAGTGGTCGATTGTGCTTTCAGGCCCGCAATGGCACCGCCCAAGCGGAACGCGGCCTCCGTGTCATCCATAGACTGGCATTGGAAAACGAGGTTTTCGAGCCAGTTGTGCGAAGCTTCGATCTGGCGCGCCATGTGCGCGAGCTTCATGCGGATCACTGGGTGGTCGATCAGGCGCTTGCCGAAGGTGTGGCGCTTGTGGGCGTATTTGACGGATTCTTCGTAGCAGACGCGCGAGAAGCGGACGCATTGGATTATTATACCCATGCGTTCGTGGTTGAAGTTCATCATGATCACTCAAAGAGTAGAGTATATATGCGTTAGAATTACGTTAAGAGGACTTGGGATATTGCTTCAAGAGAAAGGTGGGTATGGGTGAGGTCTTTGATCACCTACCTTTGAAGCCCTGGTTCCCCTTGCCGATCAGGTTCTCAACGGGCACCTTGACGTCTTCGAAGGTGACGTAGGCAGTGCCACTTGTTGACATACCCTGACAATCCATCTTGCGGGTGCTGACTCCACCAGCGGACCGCTCGATGAGCAGTACGCTAATACCGTTCATGCCCGGTTCGCCAGTCCGCACAGCGGTTGTGAAGTAGTCAGCCCAAATGCCGTTGGTAATCCATTTCTTCTCACCGTTGACAATATAATGCCTCCCATCTGGCGTCAACTTAGCCTCGCAGGAAATGTTGGAAACATCGCTTCCACAATCCGGCTCGGTAATGGCTAGACAGATGCGCTTATCACCAGACAAAATAGCTGGAAGGATGCGCTGCACCAACTCCTTCTTTCCATATTTGATAACTGGCGGGCAGCCGATACCAAAACCACCAATCAGGTTCCATACGAGACCACCGCTGGCGGCGCGCGAGAGCTCATCGGTGACAATCAATTCATGGAAGAAATCCCACTTCTCTGGCGGTACACATTTTACTTGGTTCTTGGACAGGGCCGGTTCATACGCCACACCCATCAAACCAGCCAGATAGCCTCTGTCTCCCATTTGCTTGTAGAGATGTTCGGGGATGGCCTTCGCCTCGTCCCAGTCATGGACATGTGGATCGATCTCGGACTCTACCCATTCCCGAACCTCCTTACGGAGAGCAGCGTGGGTCTCATTGTAGTACATGGAGGTGTACTGTTCAAGGGGAAATAAGAGAGGGAGAAGGATAATTTGTTAGCCAATAATGTTCTGTCTTCATGAACGAAGTCTTTTGTGAAATGATTAGATCTGCAAAGTGTAGAAAGGACAGAGACATACACCCTGGTACCAGGCGGGGTCCGCAAAAGGAACGAGGTCGCCATATGGCTCTAGAGCAACGGGTGCAGCAGTTCGGGATGCGACAGCATTTTCAGAATTGGACGATCCGGCCGCCGGAGGTGTGGCAGGCGGGGATGGAGGGGGTGGTGGTGCAGCTGCAACTTTCTTCGAGTCCAAAGATCCAACCTTCAGTTGGGGGCTGTACTTTTTCAAAACGCCAGCATTGTGGTATTTCCAAAATTGCTTCGAGGCATCCTTTCCAGCGACTCGCTGCAAGACTAGTTGGAGGCCATTATAGTCAGCACCGTCTCGAATTAATACATATAGCTACCAGCTCGGGCAGGGAACCAATGTTGCGGACCAACGCAAAGTACCACATACTCTTTTTTCCGCCAGGATGTTCATCCTGGAACTTGGTGAGGTCGTAGACATCTTCATCAATGATAATCCAGAGGTTGTCCGGCTTGTTGTGAGACGTCACAGCGTCCTTCGAGAAGACTTCAGACATTTTCTCCCCCCTCCCCAAAAAAAAAAAATAAAAAAAATCGAGGACTCCTAGTCCACAGGAATACGAAACACAATGAATGATAAGACTAAAATATGAAAAGAAAGGAAAAGTATCTCCTAGAGAAAGATAGGAAGAGGTTTGAAAAAAAAAAATCCGACAAGATAAATAAAGACGGGCGGATTATACTTTTTATATCATCATAAGGTACAGAGTATAAAGACAACAAAGGCCTTGTGCTCCCTTTCTAGTCCCAGGAGAAATACCCCATAATAATAATAACCACCTGTCGGCTGTCGGCTGTCGCATGTCCTTTCATTTCTCTCTTCCGCTCTTTTTTGTCCTTTTAGTTGAAGAATCTTTGATCCTTTCGTTCCGCATTCTGCCCTTTGTTGGCGGCAACGGGCACACAACCCTGGCCCAGTTTCACATGTCAAGCGCTGCCTCCTCAGCATCCGCGCATCATAGCTCCACCAGCATGTATCCAGCAGGTCTCCAGGTTCATGTACCGCACCACTTTCACGCTTGCTAAGCTCTAGTTACGTCACATGCACCACCTGCCATGTGCCCGGTGAAGCGCTGGAACACACCAAAAAGAATTCGACAGCTCTCCTTACTCTCCCCGTGTGTGGCGCTGATTCAGGAGGTCAGCTCCCATGCAACGCAATTGCATTTTTTTTTTCTATTGTATTTTTTTTTTATATTATATATATATATATATATATTATATTTTTAACAATCGAACACTAGATTGTGAGGACCGAGGTCCCAATAATCCCCAGAAAGAATGAAAGAATTCCGGTTTAGTGGATCGGTGCAATGAATGGCCTTACAGAGGCTTTTATGGGCATGTGAAACCATATGCAAATATTCAGGTTGGGATGGGAAGAGATGGTTTTCTTGTTGCCAACGGCGAAGCTATAGCTAGTAGGATTCGTTCATAATGATTTCAACTTGGGAAAGTCCTATGGGATTGAGCTTTGCGATGGTCTTGAAAACTATACAAGTTCTACTCTACTCCCCTGATCTTTCGTTAATGCCAAAACATGCTGTGTATTATTCTAGTAGAACATATATTTCTTTAATGCACTCCATATATATGCTACGAGGACGGAAATGCATAGGTATTGGGGGGGAAAACTCAAAAATAGAAATACATGTGAATGCTAGTTCCAAGGAGGGATCAAGGAGGGATCAACCAGGTATGAAAGCCTGTTAGCCCTAGTAGTAGTCGACAAAGAGAAAAGTCCAAAAGCAGGGGAAGAAACTAAGGGGCAACTTGCAACCAGAATATCTGGGGGATGTGGGGAGAGAAGAAACGCCCCCACCGCTTTCTGTGCTTCTCCGTTCTACCATTCTAGTGACCCGGAGAACATAGCAGAATTATTACATAGAAGCGAGGCACCACCCGCTCTCACTTCATGCAATCCCTTACTCCTCCGCGTTATCAGAATAATAGTCGAACTCGTTAGGCACTGGAGCTTCTTCAGCTCCCTCTTCATCCTCATCAACTGCGGTAAGAACACCAGCCGCCGCTGCCGCTCCACCAGATGGGCCAGTGACAACAACAGGTTGCTCCAGCGCGGTCATAGCAGCATTGATTCGATCCTGGATCGTCTCTCCAGCCGCTGTCTGTTTTGTCTCCCTACTAGCCCGGAGCTCGATGATCTCACGTGGCTCTGAGGGCGCCTTATCAAGAACGACAACGACTCCTCCGGTTGGCTAGGTTATTGACACAGAGCATTAGCATAACCACAAACTAAAACGAACGAACAATAAAAAAAAAAATAAGGGCCATTTTTACTTACGCGCTTGACGGGCTCATATCGCGGATCGGGGAAGGTTAGGTATTTCAATTGCGCTGGAAGGACTCGAGACATATTCTCCAGCTCATAGCCTACTTTCTCCTTCTCCACTTTTCGCTTTGGCGCTTCAGCTGGGGTTTCCTCCTTCTCGCGATCCTTCCCTTCGTCCTCAGTTTTCACTGCGCTCTCATCGACATCCATCTTGTCGAGATGTTGTGTCGATACCTTAGGAGTCGTAGGGGTTTGGTCGATCTCCATGCTTTCCCGGCGCTGCTGCTTTTCTCTCCGCTGAGCACGTCGTTTAGCCTGAGCTGTGGTTGAAAGAACAGCGGTCTTAACTTTCTCAGGCGCTTCATCCGCTTTAACCTGCTGTTTAGGGGGGTAGTCGAAAAGGCTAGGTCGGGTATTGCTGTGGAACTTAAAGACAGGAACCTCCAGTTTCTGGTCGACTCCGATCACAGCCGTAGGCGTGAAACTCAACGAAAGGAAATGCGAAAGCGGGAACCAATACCAGTACTGTACGAAAACAGCCATTCCAACAATTCCAGGCATATTCAAGTTGCCAGTCTGCGTTTGTAAGCTGATAGTGCAATTACGCCCGCCTGCGTCGATGATTCCCAGGGCAAGCGCACACCCGAATTTAGCCATGGCATCTTCGTGCCTGTCCCCGATCATCTTCTGCATCGTCTTGCGGATGGCGCCAACCTTGGGGTTCATTGCCTCGTTTTGCTGAACAAGCACCATCGCCAAAGAAATCAGTGCGCCCTGTCGCACAAAGTCCGTTGGATCCTTTAACATTGGTTCTAGAAGATCCACGGCTTCGTCCAGCCCGGTTCCAGCGCAGGATATTCCGAGTGCCATAGCAGCGCCGTAACGGACATGCGGGTTGTAGGATTCAGAAAGAAGCTCCACCATGCGAGGAACACTCTGGTGCTTGCGGAAGAGAATGAATCCAAGACTCATCACAGCGACTCTCCGTACGTCATCGCTGACATCACTAACAGCAACATGTAAGAGTCGTCGGACTGCCTTATTGCTACCTGTCCCGCAGTAAGCGAGGGCAATGGCCATAATACCACCGTAGCGTAGCGTAGGATCAGGATCACCCAAGAGGCCATTGATCAATTCATCCGCAGCTTCTTGTCGCCCATACATGATAAGAGCCATTCCCATGGCAACTCCGCGGATGATCTTTTCATGTTGCGTATCATGGGCATATCGGATCATATCTTCCAAGGCCTTCATGTTGCCACTCCCAAGCATAACCAGACCCATCGCAAGACCCACAGCTTCTCCATTAAGAGCGGAATCAGTTTCAAGGACAACTTTGAGGTCATTGTAAATGCCTTCATCACCGGTAGCCATTCCCGCGACGCCAAGACCCAGTGCTCCACCGTGTTGGACTACTTCTTCCGTTGCTTTCGTAAAATGTTCCCGAATCAAATCGACAGCCCAGCCCTCGTGGTTGGCGTAAATTAGGCCAAAGGCATACAATGAACCGCCTTGGCTATACACTGATCCCGCGCCTCCGACTCCTGCAATATTCTCTTTGGGAAGGTATGGTGCTAAGAGTTTCTGTCCCTGTGTAAGGTTTCCTCGATGGATCACACCCAGAGCCGCTGTAGCGGTGAACTTGGACCAGTTAACGGCCTTGCCGAGCCATTCGAGGTTATCACGGAAGAACTTGTCGTGTGTTGTTCCTGCATGCATGAAGGCATTGGCTAGTGTGACGGCATTATGAAAAATGGAGTTACGAGCTTCCAAGCTGTCTTTTATCTTGTTGAGAACAGAAATATCGGCCTTGTTGTTTCGGTATAGGAATTCCAAATTTAGTTGGATCGAATTGACTCCGTCGATGATGTCGCAGATGGACTTGAAGGCCGCCCGCGCGTCCTCGGATAACTTGTCCTTCTCATTTCCGGCGCCTAAGCTCCGACTGTTTGAAGTATCGGGTGCACCCTCTTGATTTTGGAGTAGAGAATCCGTTTCCTTGGCTGCGCTGCCGTCATGTCCCATATTCTGAGATTCTGTCTCGCTCGATTCGGGGATAAGTTGGCTGATTTCTTGTCGGACCTTTCTCAAAAATTCCTGAGTGCTGTTGTCGTACAAGTCGAAGGAAATTTGATAGGCCACAGAAAGAGAACGCGGGTCTCCTTTTTCAACGAGCTGACGCAGTATATCCGAAGCCATTGAGTGTTCATTAAGGTAGACAACACATTTTGCGATGGAAAAATAATCAGGAGAAGGGATTTCGTTTAAGAGCTCGAGAATCAATTTAAGGATCTGTGAAAAATCGTATAGGTTAGCAGAAATAACTCCGGGACCCTTTGAATAGCGTAACAACATACCTCATTTCGAAAGGCCCTTTCTTGAACAACGCTCATACAGATATCCAAAACATATTCCATAAGTTCCTCACCACTCCGAGATGACTCCCCATTTTCCTTTTTCTCATCCTCACTCGCACGCAAGATAGCAGTACGAAGGACGTCGAGATTCTTTGCTTCAACGGCAATTCCAACGACCTGGCGGTAGCGTTTCTCGCGGAAACACTGCTCGAATAACCTTTCAATGACACCATGAAGTTGTTTCTGAACACCGCGCTGGATAACAAGTGGGAGTTCACTGGGATCCGCACCGATATCTTCGCCACCGGTTTCCAGTGAAACTGAGTCTTGCCGTGAAAGGAGTGATTTTGACGGTAGGGCAGACTGGGAGAATGGAGTGATGGGTGAGGTAAGTCCTGCGGAAGTGCTGGTAGCCCCATTTGCGGTTAGAGGGAATGACGTATTCAGACGAGGAACCTTGTTAGCAGCTTGGGCGGAGTTCTGAGGTTTCGGGCTAGCAGATATCGAGATAAACGTATCCACGCATTTCGCTGCAGGAATGATCGTTAGCACAACAATAGTTAAACATACAATAGGAGGGTCAAAAAAATGTAACCTACATATTATGGTCTCCTCAAACTCGCCACCATGGTCCAAATTTAACAGCTTTCCGGCGCCAAGGGCAAACACCATGCTCTCATTGTATTCCTGAAGATGGTAATATACCTTGGAGGCAACCAGAGCCGCCAGCTCACGTTCCGGGAAAGATTCATCTTCGTAGAGTGCCTCTCTGGTAAGATTCATAACCGTTAGCATTCATCTAGGAGGTAGAAGAACCATTCAAGGCTTCGAAATCATGCCTGTTGAACAGCACATATGAGA